ATGTAAGACATCCATTTTGACATTTTGACGATTTTCACTTTATTCCTAGAAAATGGTGATAGCTATACTAACACTTTGTTATGAATTATCTTTTCTTGGANTTTCCACTATCGATTATTGCTTTTAAGTAGTAATCATTTTTTTTATGAAAAGCATCCAATTTGCTACATTAAAGATTTTCGCTTTATTCCTAGAAAATGACTAAGTGGACTTAAACTTTGTTGTGAATATGCTTCGTTGGATTAATATGAACAACTTTCGTCTACAATATTTTCCTCTATCGGTAATTGTTTCTATGTAATTATAGATTTTTTTATGTAAGACATTCATGTTAACATTTTGAAGATTTTCGCTTTATCCCTAGATAATGATGACAGCTAGATCAAAACTTTGTTATGAAAAATGCTTCCTTGGATCAATATGAACAATTTAATAATTAATATCGGTTATTGTTGCTATGTGTTATAGATTTTATGTAAGACATCCACTTTGACATTTTGGCGATTTTCGCTTCATTCCTAGAAAATGGTGATAGCTATACTAACACTTTATTATAAATTATCCTTTCTTGGATTGGTAAGTACAATTTTTGTCCACAATATTGTCCTCTATCAGTAATTGTTTTTATATAATTATAGATTTCTTATGAAAGACATTCATTTTAACATTTTGAAGATTTTCGCATTATCCCTAGAAAATGATGATAGCTAGATCAAAACTTTGTTATGAATAGTGCTTTCTTGGATCAATATGAACAATTTAATAATTCATATCGGTTATTGTTGCTATGTAGTTATAGATTTTATGTAAGACATCTACTTTGACATTTTGATGATTTTCGCTTTATTCCTAGAAAATGGTGATAGCTATAGTAACAGTTTGTTATGAATTATCCTTTCTTGGATTAGTAAGTACAATTTTTGTCCACAATATTGTCCTCTATCGGTAATTGTTTCTATGTAATTATAGATTTTTTTATGTAAAACATTCTTTTGAACATTTTCGCATTATCCCTAGAAAATGATGACAGCTAGATCAAAACTTTGTTATGTATAGTGCTTTCTTGGATGAATATGAACAATTTAATAATTCATATCGGTTATTGTTGCTATGTAGTTATAGATTTTATGTAAGACATCCATTTTGACATTTTGACGATTTTCACTTTATTCCTAGAAAATGGTGATAGCTATACTAACACTTTGTTATGAATTATCTTTTCTTGGATTAGTAAGTACAATTTTTGTCCACAATATTGTCCTCTATCGGTTATTGTTTCTATGTAGTTATTCTTTTATGAAAGACATCCATTTTCACATTTTGATAATTTTTGCATTAAATGGTGATAACTATACCAAACCTTTGTTATAAACAATGCTTTTTTGGACTAATACAAACAACTTTTGTGTACAAGATTTTTCTCTATACTGTATTGCATTGGAGTAGTTTTAGATTTTTTAATCATTTTGCCATTTTAGAGATTTTACTTTATTCCTAGAAATGATGACAGTTAGACTAAAACTTTGTTATGAATTGTTCTTTCTTGGATTAATATGAACAATTTTTGTACACAACATTTTCCCCTATCCTGTATTGCTTTAGAGTAGGTAGTTTTAGATTTTTTAATATAAGGGTGTGACTGTAAGTAGTGGCATAACTTTAATCACAAATACTAGAGTAAAAATGATGACGATTCGTGTAAACATTTTTGATCTAAACCCATAAATGACTAAGATATCAAAGTTCATCAAAGTTCAGAAATTTTCACATATTTTCATAAATATTTGCAATATGGTTATCATAAGAAATGCTATACAGGTGTTCACACAGGTTATTTCATGTGTCATTAAACTTCCAGAAAGATTTGATAAGATTTGATTTTTTTTGATATTTTTTATTTGCAAAAAGATACAACCTCGATTTTGGAATGTTTGGAAATTGTAAGTAAAGACAACCTGATAGAAAAACATTACTAAATATCGAAAGACATTTACATGAGCCAGGAAATTTAACACAGAAATATATAAATAACGGCAATCTGAGGTCAATTCGAACACCCCAACTAGCAGAAAACATTTTGGATTGTGTGGCAGATCATAGTACTGCTAGTACTGTTGATAGCAACAGTTTAGACGTTTCAGAATATCCAAAAGTACGTCTTGGCATATCCTACATGAACAGCAATTGTATCCATCCATATGTAGAGAGTACAAAAAATGTAAAAATTGCTGATCATCCATTGCAAGTACAGTGTTGCCATACTATGATGGAAAACTGTACTATTGATACAGCGTTTTTAGAAGAAAGTACTCCTACTTTTCAGATAACCATTAATTTGAGAAATGCTGAAGAATAATTGCGCTGAAAAAAATTCAGATTTCAAGCTACTTTGAGTAATAATTTGGTAGATTTCTTTTAAACAAACTTACATTTTTGTGAATAACTCGAAAACTATGCGTCTAATTAAAAATTTGTAAGAATAAAAATGATTTTAGAATGAAATAAACTTTTAGAATCAGTGAGAAAATTTAATGGTTTACGACATAATAAAAAAGTTTTAAGGAAATAACCTTTGTGAACACCATGTAAAGTATTAATCCCGTGTTTGCATATTTTCAAAAGTGGTCTTAATCGATTTCTCATAATAACATTTCACTGTTTGCCAAATTTTATCTTTCTTAGACAAATCATACATATCTTAGCCATTTATGGGTTTAGACCAAAAATTTTTACACGAATCGTCATCATTTTGACTCTAGTACTTGTGATTAAAATTATGCCACGACTTACAGAAACACCTGTATAACGTCCATTTTATCACTTTCATCATCATTGCGATCATTTTCGCTTTATTCTTGGAAAATAATGATAGCTAGAGCAAAACTTTGTTATGAATTATGCTTTGTTGAATTAATTTGAACAATTTTTATTCACAATATTTTCCTCTATCGATTATTGTTTCTATGTACTGATAGATTTTTAATACTGTAAAGTATTCTTTTAAAGTTGTAAAGCTTGGCTAAAGCTTTATTATGATTTATGATTTTTTTGAATAATGTGAATAATCTGTGTTCATGACGATTTACTATGTTATTGTTTCTACATAGCGATAGAATTTTTAATATACAGTGTGCGGTAAAATTATGGAATAAATTCAATAAAACGGTTATAAACATTATTTTGCAAAAACGGCTTTTTAAAACACACATTTTGAGCCCATATTTACTTCCCGATAGTCATTTGTTTTAAAGTTATGGAGTCAACAACAACTTTAAAACAAATGGCTATCGGGAAGTGAATATAAACTCAAACTGTGTGTTTTGAAAACCAAAATAGACTTGTTTCGCCATTTTTGCAAAATAAAATTTATAAGGGCATTATTGAATCTATTTTATCGTTTTGCCGCACACTGTATAATAAAAAAATTACAAGTACGGTGTAACTCTGTTATATGAATAATTTTCGTACACAATACTCTTATTTATCTCCTATTAAAATTCATAATATACGGGAGTGGATATGCCAACACAATTCCTCCAGAAAATACATACAGAGCAGATATAAAGCAGATATTTAACACCTTTTGTAAATCGTTTCATTCTTTTGATTCATCGGTTGTTGGATAGGTGCCTCAACTCATTAATGGTTACCCATTACTATTTACTTCATTTCTGTTTATGACAAAATTGTTAGAACCTGATGTAACCAAATTAAGATGAAGCCACGTAGTTGAAACTTGCTCAAGACTTGAGACTCATAGTGCAATTATTACAAAATTTAGTACTTATAAAATCCTGGCGTTTAGAGAAAAATGAACCTCCAAATAAGTGCGTGATAATGGCTTCAAGTCGTATTGAGGTGAAGGATATTTTTAGCTAGACGGATCAGATAAACGCCCAGTGCTTCTTAATTTTAGGAGAAGCGATCTAGAAGGTACGATCTAATAATTTTCACTTCCTAGAAAGTCTTCAGAGAAGCCTTCTTCACTTTGGAAACCGCAAAACACAAGCTATTGATACTATATTTTCCGCCCAAAAACCTAAACGCAGGCTCCAATTGATGAATAGACAACCCGTTAATCTTATTTTATTCACATGTCATCAAACATTAAAAACACGTTAGCTTAGCTCAACACTGTGATCTTGCTCGGGTTACCTATTGTACTCACACAGGGATTGTTTTTAAGGTGACAAAAATCATCTGATGCCAGATTAATAAGCATTATGGATATATAGGATCACTCTGCTTAACACAACTTGTATAAGGTATCGCATATACAGGGTGTGTCAAATGTTTGCAATATAGCCAATAACCTCGCCATTTGTGGTTTTAAAGAAAATTATTTCAAATACAACTTTCTTTATTAATCGTGGCGCATTTTTTGGCGATATTTGCTTGTTTATATGTTTTTTGAGGCGAGATGCTATGAAACTGAGAAGGAAGATAATATTGATAAAGATTACAAGTTGCTGAATCAACATGGAGCTCACGTGATGCAAAATAACGTCATTAGTATCGGGTAAAGACGCATTTAAAAACCGAAAGTCATTCATGTGAAATGAAAGTCTTGCAGAGTGTAAGGCACAGTTGCGAAATGCTTTAATTGATCATGATACTGAATTGGGAAATTCTTACTAATTTAGTTGTGGATGCGGTTACGTTAACCGATTTTATTGTAAATCAATAAAATAATCAAATCTTTACGAATTATAGTGGTAATAATTTTTTACTCTCACTCACTATGAAATTATTAGTTAACATAAATAGATTTAGAACATATACTTTACAAGATTCATTATTATTAATCATTATAATAAAATTGAAAAATGATGTACTGGTTATGTAAGTAAAGCTGGTGTTTTGGTTAAAAGGTTAGAAGCGCGTTAGTACGTGAATGAGCTTTTAAGTTAATGTTAGTGTTCTATTTTGTTAATCGGTGCGTGAAAAAAAATTGCACGCGATGAAAATAAATGTGTACCATCACATTTGATTAAACTGACCTGACTTCCTATGGCTGCTGATATTGCGGGCGCCGCATGACTGATGGCAAAGAAAAGACTCAAAATGCACAGAAAGCTAACGTAACACTTCATCTTCCCGTGTGATATTTATGGTGTTTAGGGTGGTTGACTAGAATCGACTATCACTTCTATAACAAAAGAAAAAATTGATTAGGAACATGATTAGATTCGAAAGCTGGGTGTTAGCAATAAAAATTAAATAACGGAAATTGAAGGTCGACGATAAAGTTTAAAGTGAAGGTGTTTAATATAAAAAATTAAATATATCATTACTATTATTATAGATAATTGTGGTTTTAATTTTTTCTAAACATTTATGTTGTTTAATTAGAGGTCAATTTAGGAATGCTTTATAAATGTCAATAAGGTACCAAGAGAAATCTTAGCCTTCACATAATATTCAAATTAATAGAACGGCTTCTGTTAGTAACTGGAATCTAGATTATAAAAATTTATTCTTGATTTATTAACTGAAATGAACCACAATGATTCAACGATTTAAATAAGATTTGAGTCGCTATAATTAATTTTTTCTTTAATTAAAACATTCTCAGAAATATGTAAAAACCACAACATTGTCTCCAATTATTGATCTATTGACATTTAAATCGCACCTTGATAGAAAGAAAGAGGTAAAAATTCTTGAAATACGTTCACTTTACAATAAATAATTACTTTTTGCGGGTTAATTGTGGTTTTTATCTGATTGGATTCGAATTTTTATTAAATAAAACAAATGATATGATGTAATTGTTTTACGAGATATTGTTTAAAGTGAAAACGAGAAACTTTGTTAAAACTGTTTATGTTCCAATCAACTTTTTAAGCTAGTTGTCACAATTGCGTAATTAAAAGCTAACAAAAATGTTATAAATTGAGATATTTATATTAAATATTTAGATATTTCACCTTGCTTCTTGTTAAATTATGGTAATCTACAAAGTCAATTTATTGGTATACTAAGTTATAATTACTAATGACATTTGCGTGTATTACTTATAAGGTGAATTTAATAAATCTTGCTTAAGAGTTAAATGATAGAGTTGGAAGGATAAAGAGTTGACTTATCTTGACTTATTACATTTCCTGTTAATTAGATAATTTCCAATAATAAATATAATAGAGGTCTTATTTCAATTTGTTCTTTAACTGATTAATATATAAAGGAATACTCATTTCTTATTTTTATAAATATCGTTGTTATGGTTTTTTAAATCCAACTCTGTATGTTTGATTGTTATAGATATGAAATGTAAATTTTAAAGTATCGTATCTCAAGAACGAATGGAGATATAATAACGAAATAAAGAACATTTTAAAGCAAATTTCATGAAGATTTAGAGCGCCATAAATTATTTCTTATTGTCCATAATCATCGTTGTTATCACTTTTTAAACCCAACTCTGCATTTTTGATTGTTATAGATATGAAATGTAAATCTTAAAGAATCGTATCTCAAGAACGAATGGAGATATCATCATGAAATAAAGATCATTTTAAAGCAAATTTCATGAAGATTTAATGCGCCATAAATTATTTCTTATTGTCCATAATCATCGCTGTTATGACTTTTTAAACCAAACTCTGCATTTTTGATTGTTATAGATATGAAATGTAAATTTTAAGGAATCGTATCTCAGTAATTAATGGAAATATCATCTTGAAATAAAGATCATTTTATAGCAAATTTCATGAAGATTTAATGTTCCATAAATAATTTCTTATTTTTCATAATCATCCTTGTTATGACTTTTTAAACTCAACTCTGCATTTTTAATTGTTATAGATATGAAATGTAAATCTTAAAGAATCGTATCTCAAGAACGAATGGAGCTATCATCATGAAACAAAGAACATTTTAAAGCAAATTTCATGAAGATTTAATGTGCTATAAATAATTTCTTATTGTCCATAATCATAAATGTTATGACTTTTGAAACTCAACTCTGCATTTTTAATTGTTATAGATATGAAATGTAAATCTTAAAGAATCGTATCTCAAGAACGAATGGAGATATCATCATGAAACAAAGAACATTTTAAAGCAAATTTCATGAAGATTTAATGCGCCATAAATTATTTCTTATTGTCGATAATCATCGTTGTTATAACTTTTTAAACTCAACTCTGCCTTTTTAATTGTTATAGATATGAAATGTAAATTTTAAAGAATCGTATCTCATTAATGAATGGAGATATCATCATGAAGTAAAGAACATTTTAAAGCAAATTTCATGAAGTTTTAATCTGCCATAAATAATTTCTTATTGTCCATAATCGTAGATGTTATGATTTAGTGAACCCAACTCTGCATTTTTGATTGTTATAGATATGAAACGTAAATTTTAAAGAATCGGACCTCAAGAACGAATAGAGATATCATCATGAAATAAAGAACATTTTAAAGCAAATTTCATGAAGATTTAATCCGCCATAAATAATTTTTTACTGTCGATAATCATAGTTGTTATGATTTATTGAACCCAACTCTGCATTTTTGATTGTTATAGATATGAAATGTAAATCTTAAAGAATCGTATCTCAAGAACGAATGGAGATATCATCATGAAACAAAGAACATTTTAAAGCAAATTTCATGAAGATTTAATCCGCCATAAATAATTTCTTATTGTCGATAATCATCGTTGTTATAACTTTTTAAACTCAACTCTGCATTTTTAATTGTTATAGATATGAAATGTAAATTTTAAAGAATCGTATCTCAGTAATGAATGGAAATATCATCATGAAATAAAGATCATTTTAAAGCAAATTTCATGAAGATTTAATGGTCCATAAATAATTTCTTATTTTTCATAATCATCCTTGTTATGACTTTTTAAACTCAACTCTGCATTTTTAATTATTATAGATATGAAATGTAAATCCTAAAGAATCGTATCTCAAGAACGAATGGAGATATCATCATGAAACAAAGAACATTTTAAAGCAAATTTCATGAAGATTTAATGCGCCATAAATTATTTCTTATTGTCCATAATCATCGTTGTTATGACTTTTTAAACTCAACTCTGCATTTTTAATTGTTATAGGAAATGTAAATTTTAAAGAATCGTATTTCAAGAACGAATTGAGATATCATCATGAAATAAAGAACATTTTAGAGCAAATTTTATAAAGATTTAATCCGCCACAAATAATTTCTTATTGTCGATAATCATCGTTGTTATAACTTTTTAAACTCAACTCTGCCTTTTTAATTGTTATAGATATGAAATGTAAATTTTAAAGAATCGTATCTCAATAATGCATGGAGATAGCATCATGATGTAAAGAACATTTTAAAGCAAATTTCATGAAGTTTTAATCTGTCATAAATAATTTCTTATTGTCCATAATCATAGATGTTATGATTTAGTGAACCCAACTCTGCATTTTTGATTGTTATAGATATGAAATGTAAATTTTAAAGAATCGTACCTCAAGAACGAATAGAGATATCATCATGAAATAAAGAACATTTTAAAGCAAATTTCATGAAGATTTAATCCGTCATAAATAATTTCTTACTGTCGATAATCATAGTTGTTATGATTTATTGAACCCAACTCTGCATTTTTGATTGTTATAGATATGAGATGTAAATGTTAAAGAATCGTACCTCAAGAACGAATAGAGATATCATCATGAAATAAAGAACATTTTAAAGCAAATTTCATGAAGATTTAATCCGCCATAAATAATTTCTTACTGTCGATAATCATAGTTGTTATGATTTATTGAACCCAACTCTGCATTTTTGATTGTTATAGATATGAGATGTAAATGTTAAAGAATTGTATCTCAATAACGAATGGAGATATCATCATTAAATAAAGAACATTGTAAAGGAAATTTGATGCAGATTTCATGCTCCATAAATAATTTCTTAATTTCTATAAACTTCGTTGTTATGATTTTTTTAAACCCAACTTGCCATGTTTAACTAATTGAGATATCATCATGAAATAGAAAGCATATTTACTTAATATTTAATATTTTGAAGGTAATTTTTTCAAATATACGAATTTTTGAATTCAATTCTTCTCCGCAACTGACTGGCCAAGATAAATTTGCCAATCCGTACATCGAGTTAAATTTTATAACTTTGAAAGTAAAACCGAAAGTGCCACTTATACGGATAAAAAATTAAATTGGGGCCGATATTTCACCGAAACAAAAAGTGAGGTGAATGAATGAATTATGGATTAATAATAATATAGCCGTCGGTTTCTGTGTCCCACAATTACTTTTCGATTTATACATGAATTTACTAATCGGTTGTGTTCTTAATTCTATAGATTATGCCAACATTTTCGCTTTCACTCCAATTTAAATTGCTATATGTTTGCAGTCTTAATCATTACCAAGTTCAGCTTATGTTAGTCATTATTAAATCTTAATATGACTAATATAACATTTAAGAACACTATTGGGGGGAAAGAATATTTGCATTGCGTTCATAACAGAATTGAGTAATATATTTGGCCAATTCCTTCATTGCGAAACCGCCAAAGGAAATTTCTTAATACGGTGTCAATTAAAAAAATTATTTCGCGCGTTCGTTGTTTTCCACAATGTAATTAAGCAAATTTTTGCTTTCTTCATACAGTTTTAACAACCTCTAATTGTATCTACTTAAGAAAATATTTTTAAAAACATCATTTTGAATAAAAAAATGTTATTCACGACATTTTCCATACCAAATATGCTGAATCATTTTAAAAAATGTACAAATTATTTTGTAATTGTTGCTAAAAGATTGTGTTCGTTAAACGTTATTTATTCACTGGAGACTTAAAGAGTAAAAGTTTGAAAAGAAAAAGTTTTAGTTGAAAGTTATAAAAAGTTGTTTATTTTTTCGAGCGGTGAAAATAAATATAAGAAATAAACTTGGAGAGAAATGTGTCAAAAAAAAGTAACAAGGTCGATGGCTTATTGACTAAGTCTAAAAGTGTAAAGCGAACGTGTTTTGAATTAAAATTGAATAAATCAATGTTGCATTAGATTTTGATGGAATTTCCATCACCTTAATTTTCTTGCGACACAATTTAATATGTTTCAATAATGTTTACACAATTCTTATTAAAGAAAAATCCTATTATGATTTAGCCTTAAACCATTATTG